AAAGAATGATGTTCGTATTGTGATCAAAATAAAATTTATGAGCAAGAAAACTTTTCCGTTTTAAATTTAATATTATTATTTATATGATATTAGAAATCGTAAGTATTTTAATATTTAAGTAACATAATTTAATTTTAATAAATATGAAAATAATAAATACTATAAAAAAAATTATATAAACTGTATAAGAGAACAAAATTATGATAGGTATAAATATCTTTTTTTAGAATAGATATATACATTTTATAAATATATATATATTCTATTTCTGTTTTTTTTCTTCGGAAACATCATAAAGTAAAAATAATGCAAAAAAAATTATTAGCTGTTACGTTTGTTATTTTTCAAATTATTATTTAACTAAGATTGCATTATGATATACAAGTAATAATGATGCATATTGTATTGAAGAATGCAGTTTATACGAATTTTTATACGAATCATATATCTAGGCAAGAGGTGACTTACCGCTCGTTATAATTATCACGCATAAATTATACAGTGCAGTTGTTCTACGCTACGCATCAATACGAAGTTTGAAATCGCACTCACATCAGTGAGTGAATTAATACCTGTCGACGATATGTCGGAGAGATACAAGCGCTTCCAAGGCACACCTTGTAACTTCGTGCATGATGTCCTGGAAGTGGTAAAAAAGCTTCATCAGCCTACTTGATCGTAGCCAAAGTTTATGTTTTGAACGATATACGTAACTGTTAACTATTTGCGCTGGTTCTTCTACTAATTGCTACATATTAAATCACTCCCATCTTCCGCGAACTTTACATCAAAACTAAACATGGAATGATGAGAGGCAAGGATTAAAAAAAAATAATAGCCTGTTATATTAAAGAAAAAGTAAAAATTTTGTAACTATTAATAATAATGAGTTTAGTTATTATTTTGATTAAGGAAATAGAAAAAATGTTCCTTTATCGGTAAAAATATTGTCATATATAATATTTTGTTGACATATTTGGAAAAATATAATTTAAACTACAGTCTGTCGGCGCGATATCGAGACAGTTTGTAAAACGTTTAAATAGTATTTGCAAATTTATTCCTAGGCGTTGGTAAGAGCATTCCTGGCGTGGCGGAGAGCACGGAATTTCTATCTCGTGAACGAACGCGAGCGCAAGGTATGGCAGATAAAGGGAGGAGTCGCGAGAAACATCGGCATGGTTACTTTAGACCGGCGTTGCTGTATTTCTCACTTTTTTCCCTTCTCTTTTCTTTCTTTCTATTCAGGACCCGTCGTCGCGATGCAAATATGTTCGATGCAAATGCTCGCTCCGGAGAGCGTGAAGGTAACGGAAGTGGTAGCGCGGTCGTAGATTTCCTACGCGCACTCCGTTATATTTCCTGTCCGACGCGAGCCGTTCCGGTGTCTCCGCACGTGCGTTCATATCGATTCACGTGTAGTTCTCCATGTAGATCTCATCGTCGACCACCCGGGCCATTGCACCGTTTTTAAGCCCAGAATAAGACGCATTTCTCGCTCGCGTGAGCTTATTGTGGCAAACCTCCGCCGAAGCGCAAACTAATGGGTCAATTCTAAGCAGAATCGTAAGACTCGCAACGTATTCTCGTAAAACTTGTATATATAAAAACTTATGACTAGTATTTTAATTTTATGCGTATGTATCGTAAGACGATTATTCGTAAATATCTACGATTTTTTGTAAATTTTACAGTTAGTATAATGTAGTAAGTTTAGTAGTAGAGTTTATAGGTATCGCTCTTTTTAATTTTTAAACAATGTCAAGCGACATTTTTATCTTATATATATTACAAACGTAAGTTAAATTAGATTGTACATGTTTGGATCTCTTTTTTCAAAGGCAAAAATAATAGGATATAAAAGAGGAATAAGCTTTTATATTTTTATATTTTTTATTTAATGAAGAACTGCATTATACATTTTACAATAATAAAGGATTAATACGATTTACAACTTTATAGTAAGCTATGTGAACGTATGCAAATAGAATCCGTTGGGAGTGCAGAGAAGCCGGGATAGTTCGCTCTAATTTTAGATTCTGTTACCGAGCAAGCATATGTACCTTCAACGCATTTCGGCGTATTTGTTCGACGGTCCGGAAATAAAGTCGCCTTTCAACGTTGCGCGAGCGAGCACCTACACGTGACGACTTCCGGCTAGGCTCAACGTTTTGTTTATTTCTCTGTTATCGCCGTAACTTGCCCGTCGTGGTACGCAGAGAATCATAAAGTAGAAGCGTTTGGTTGTATGTACTCGATGTGAGGAAACTGTGTGAAAGGAATACTAATCCGTTACGCGTGACATTTATACATTCATATCATATTTCCCGTACAAAGTTCCAAATGCGAAAGTGTTATTTTTATGTTAGAGTTAATTAACGCTTCTCTTAGATCTAAATATTATATCTTCAATTTAAATATTGTTTTCTTATGGTTCGTAGCCCTTCTCAACACTTTTATTATCTTTATTATTCTTAGGCTTTTTTTGAAATTTCAACCAGCGGTCCTCTTTTGCACCATCAAACGAAAATATCTGACATAGTATGTCGTGCACAATTTTCCATTTTTTAATAAAATGCACCCTAGATATACCACCGAGGTCATATAACGTAACTTTATAGACTTTTTCTATTCTGTGGAATATGATTAACGCATTAACTGAAAATTATATTTTATCTTATAAAAAAATTGCTTTAGTAAATATTATAATTTCTAATTTTAATATTAAATGCAGTATTATGATTTTATAAATTTTTTTATCGCATATATTAATATTTTTAAAACCGTATTATTTGCCAAATGAAAGCAAATTAAATTAGAGAAAGCATGTTTTATATAACCGGTTAAAAAAATTTCAGTTTCACCATATCGAGATTAAATCGTATTCGTTTTGCTATTATACGATGCATAATATTCCAGCCGTATAAAATTTGCGAGCAATTGCGCCGAATGCATTCCGATAATAACAATTGCAATCGATATAAACTATGTCCGCACATAATCCTTTCGATTTGAATATTTTAAAAGAGAGCTTTTTTCCTGTGATTCGAAAAAAATTTTTTAATTTAACATCAATAAATGTTTAACATTAATTAATAATGGATGCTACTGATTTTGGAATACATTTTTTTTAATATCTTGCTTTTTGAAATTACAATAATGATCATAAAATCTTGTCCATTATTATTATTATTATTTAACGCGATAGATTTTCGTAATATATTTGGCACCATTATCTGCAAACGTATTCATCTTCGAAGTATGTTAAATAAAATTATATTTTTTTCAAAATATATAAAGTATCCGTTATTTTTATAAAACTTTTGACAATTGCAGCTATGTAAAACAGATATATATTTTATATGAAAAAATTACAGTTCAATAACGTTAACAATTAAAAGTTAACAATTTAATAATATATCTTTGTGCATATTGTTGTCGAACAATCGCGAACATAATTGTTTTCCGGTTTTTATAAAATTTTTATAAAATTCATTTTTAAAATTCTCTTGATTTTAAATATTATTCTACATACAACAAAAATTGAATTGGATTCATTGATTCGCCCATTCTATTTTGATCTAATTGATCTACGTTCTGTTCTCTTTTTTTGCTGCACTTGTCCAAAGTGCGTTTCTGCTCCTCTTTTTTCAATATAGCTCGTAATAGCGGTGGAATACATTCGTCTTGAAGACCGTTTCTTTTGGAGCGACAAGCCTCGTATCTTTCCAATTGATAGACCGGAATGTCCTTCCCGTAGCGAGTGAGCAACTCTTGCGAGCTGGGCAAGCGCGATGTATCCCCGGAAATCTCAGGCGTTAAGCAAGCACGCCTAAAGGCTACCGCTGATTTCTGACACGCCGATGCTTTGTCCGACTTCGCGGATTCTATCCGCGTGATCTCAGTTCGCAGTATTTGCTCTGAAGGCAAACGTTGAAGTCGTTGACCTTCGAGACGTTTTTGCATCGTACATCTTTCTTTTGACGAAGACTTTGTATCTAATGCCAAAGCTTTAGTGCGAAAGAAATCGCTGCAAACATCCTTGGTTGCTGATCGGACTGGCTGGCAACAACTGGCTGAACATATTCGTTTCTTGTATCTTCTTGAGAGTTTTTTCAAGGAACTTGGTATTTCGAAAGGATCAAGACCGTTCTTACGGGTTATGTGAGAAAGTGGATCCTTCATCTCTGGCAAGAACAAGATATCAATTTTCAAATCTGCTTTATCTGGACGTGCAAGTTTACAGTCTGGAGGGGAATGGTGTATCACTTCCGGTTTCAACTTTCGACGTGAAACGCTTTGTTTTGAAAGAGCTCCTTTACAAGAAACCTTCGTTTTTTTATCAAAAATCTTCTTAGAGGAATCAGTTGACTGAATACTTTTGTAAGAACTATCTTTTTTTAACTTTGATTCTAAATGAATACAGTAATTAGTTTTATCTTTGCTTATCTTTGTTGAACACTGAATAGCTCTAGCCAAAGGACCCTTTGGTGCTGTAATGCATTTGATAAAAATCATTGGCTGCTTAGATGATTTGTCATCATCGCAGTAAGATGTCTTTAAAATATTTTTTGATGATGAACAATGCAATATTTTAGAGCTGGAGTGGCCGAGTTGCTTTTCGTGCTTGTCAGTTTTTAGAATCGTAGAGGAGGCAGTTTTTATCGGTACTCTTACTTTATCAGTTAAAGCTGTTGAGTCATTAATGTGGTCATAAGATTTTAGAATATAAGTTGTTGGAAGTAAGATAAATTTATCATTCCGAAGTTGAGAAGTATCAATCGAGCTAACTTGTTGCTTTATGTCTTTGCGTCGCGGTGTCACTCTGAAAATAAAAAAAATTGCAAATTATGATAAAAATTTCCTAGCTATTGTTTAATTCGTGCATACGTCGTTTCGTTAGAATCAAGTCAACCATATAATAGATATATGTATTATATCAAATATCTGTAGATACACATATATTTGCTATATATAAATTACAAAGTATTACTATTTTGAATATTTTAATTTCGTTGTTTCTTAGCTGTGATATAGAGTAGGATTGGGTATTATGAGCACTGCAAGTAATATGAGCACTCTTTATATTTCTGCAATGGTTGATACTAGTAGTGCCAACTGTTGCAAAAAGATGCATCTGTCTTTGCGAAATTTCAATATGCTGCGAAGTTTGAACTAAATTTATGTACTTCGGATATTTATCATATTAAATGAGCAGATACGTTATTTGTTTCTTTCTTACGTTTTCTCCTTTAACCCTCTACCCGTATTCGTATCATATATCATTGACTATGTTCAAACCTTGATCTTTTTGTTGACAATACTGTAATACCACGAGAACTTTTTAAAAACGCTCAAAAAAGACCCGAACACGGTTAGAAGATTAACTTCATAACGTTTCCAATTTATTAGGTACCGCAGAAATATCTTTCGACTTAATGCCAATACATACAGAGAGCTTTCCAACAAGCGACATTGCGTAACATAGTGATCATTATATCTGTGTTTAACATTGGCGAACAACAAGGATGTAATGATTCACTGTATTACACTGTGTCATCTGTGTCTCTTGTTGGAAAGCTCCTATAAGGTGTTTCAGTTATATAGCCAAACTTCGAGAGTGTGTTGCTTCGTTTTGGAGAAAATTGCAAAAAAAACAAAATGTAGTTTTTATTTTTGTACTTATTTATTATTTATTCATTTACACTTATTTATTCACGTTGTCACTTTCTTAATGTAGATATTGTTCAAAATGTTGCCTCTTGCAGCAATGCAAGCATTGCATCTATACTAGTAGGTACAGACAGGTTATTTTTTATATTTTCTTTGACATTTTTTATATTGCTGAATCTATTTTTGCGATAATTTTTTTAAAGAATACGATTTTATCATTGTTTACTGAATCGATTTTCAAGATGTTAAGTTTCGATTTTTTATTCGATCAATGTATCAGTTAGATTTACATGGTTTGTTTTACCTTGGGAATGAATCGAACGATGGTTTCATCTCTATCACACTGGAAGAAAAGACTGACTGCTGCAGCAATTTAGATGGTAAAATATGGCATAGCATTTTTAATTGCAGGAGCCGATTTTTGGTTATATTAGCCTATCCGCAATGTCGATAGGCTAACACAACCAAAAATTAGCTGCTGCAGCCAATTAAAAATGCTATGCCATATTCAGTCAATCTTTTCTTTCAGTGCAGTAAATTAAATACGAATTCCGAGCGGTTGCTGTAGTGTCAGCGGACACTGAATCGACTTCGAACTGGCACCCTAGCACGGTGAATCTCGGCGGATACTGCGAATTGTGATGGTAGATGAGCAGCGTGACGATGCAAGGCCGCGAAACTATCGAATCGAATAACATACAGCTCGTATCGCATATTCGAACTTATGACGTCTTTATCTCGCGATAGCCCGAATCTTTAGAAATCTCTACTTTAAATCCCTTAGCCACGCCTTCTCTAATAAATTTTGCGTTAAATGTCGCGGTCTTCGATCGCGGTCCAAATCGAAAGAGAAAAGAAAGACTCGGGACCTTTGCGGTACGTGGTAAAGTTTCTCAAGGTCGTGATGCTTGCTCAGGCTCGAATTACGCGTCTTGTATCGCTCGGCGACTTCGATCGGTGACTGTGCTGCCTGTTGCCGGCTTGTTAACCGGTAGAAAGATATTTTTTCTACAGAATATCTGCTTGCAATCACATTACGTTGGGCAGCTTGCATTTCACACCGCTTCGACAAGCGATAATTCCAGTTTGCATTTACCGTCGCATAATTGAATAATGTAGCAACTATTTTTTATCATGGATAACATTCTACATTTTTTTTTTTAGAAACAAGTTATCTTTAAGGCTTATACAGACTTATATGTGTTTCACATTTATAATCGAAACTTTGCGTAATGTCGAAAATACAAAATAAAAACTATATATGAAATAATAAATAAAAATATTTGATAGCATCATCAATTTAAAAGAAAAGTCTCTGTCCTAAGTATATTAATAGTAACAATACACGACCGCAACTTAATTGCAATCGTGTAATACGTTGATATTTTAATTGTTGGCTATATAGAAAATAATGCATGACAAAGTGGCGGCTTCACGGTATTTACTCATGGCGTGCGTTAAAGGGTGGAGAAAAATATGCGCGATGAATAAGAAAGCGAGGTAAAAGAGGCAGAATGAGGGAAATAAAAAAGGGAAGACGATCTCATAGGACGCAGCTGCTCGAAGGAAGGAAGAAGATATGCAGAAGACAGAAAAGTAGGAAATATTGCAAAAAGGCAAAGAGAGCGTGGTAAAGGGAGACAAGCCTCTCTTTCATGATGACTCATTTACGGCTCACGTACGTCATCGCGAATTAACGGAGACGAGTCTGTGACATTTCTTTCCCGACGATTTAGCCCGCAAGCGAAATACAGAGACGTCGTCCATCGTCCGGTCTTTTTTGTGGCATTGCTAAGAGAATGAATGGAATCTCGTGATTCATAAAAGGCTGTTTCTGAATGAATAGCGCCATTCAACATTGCTGTTTGAAGATTTGTAACTGTCAAAATCTTACAAGTACCATGTGCAATATGATGCAGCTTTGTTTAATATTAATACTTGAGTGAAATAATTGTGCATATAATTTTATCTTTTATGAATTTTTAAGGAAGACCAGAGATCCTAAAATCTTATGTTAAAATTAAACTCTACGAAATAATTAATTTTCTTGCTCGAGATCGCGAAGTTTTCTTTCACCGTTTACTAATCTTATCACAAATGTCAGACATAACTTCGGTTTCTGGATCTTGCCTAAAATATACACTAACATGAATATACTATTATATGTGAAAATATCTTAGCAAAAAATAAATGTGAAATATTTAATTTTAAATGTCAATCGCGCGAGAAATGAAAAATCCTATTTATATTAATGACTGAAAATGGCACATACAATGACTATGATAATCGACACATGAAGGTGTAAAGCCGGAATAATGCGTGACAATGCCAGTCACGAAAGTTGCTTCGCGGTACGTGATCACAAATGCGATTCTCATTGTCGAATGCTTACGAATTTCGCACCGGTCACTAAACTGGTCCGTCTGTTCGTTCGTCCATCTCTTCGTCCCGTCAATCGATTCAAATCCTAAAATAAGCATGCTACCCAATGTCCGGCAAGCATATGCAAATCGCTCCACTACTCCCCTATGAAGAAAGAAGCTACCGACATTATGTTACAGCTGCCCTCATTCGGCTCTGTACAAATTTTTTCGCTCGATTTCATATGACTGCACGCCCATAATGCATCCCACTTTAGGGTCTAATAATGAATAATCATTTCTAACAAGGGGAACGACGATAACGTGCGATTTTTGTATAGGGCTATTATGAGTGTTGAACACTAATAGATCATTTATGATGTACGCGCTAAAATATTCATTATCATCACAAGGACGTACATCATTTTTTAACGATCCATAATTTTTCGTCATGACTTGTTATTCCACGATGATTTTACGACAATTTGCATAGATTTAACTTTCCGAAAATTTGCCATCGAGTAAAGATTTAATTTTCTGTTCCGATTTCATCTTTCTGTTTCTCTATATTGAGGACTTTTAAGCAAAAATTATTACAACTATTAAACATACAGGTTAATGTGGGTAACTTTGCCGATCGTTTCGAGAACTTTTGTCATCTTGTAGAAATCTGCTGTTTTCGCTTCTCTGTGTTCTTCGTTAAAGATTTTTGAAGATCTCTTTAAACCGTTAATTTATCTATTTTGTAACTCCTGAAATTTTGTGTATTGTAACTGGAATTTTGACACTTCGTTATCACTTGAAGTTAATTACAATTAACAAAGCGACGTCTTTTCGAGATGAATGAAAATAAAATCGAGTCTTTATTTCCAAATTCGATTTATTTATCAATTCTTTTCTCATCCGTTTTATTTACTTAAATCTTTTTACACTTAAATCTTTATGTATTGATCTTGACTCTCTTGATTATTATGAATGAATCTTGATTCATAAAAAAATACTTTGTGCAACGTAAAGATACCTACTTTTTTCATTCTGCAGATAATTAGAAAATTCGACAAGTTTAAAGATAAGTTCGGCATCAACCGAGCAAGTAACACAACCAAAAATTGGCTACTGCAACCAATTAAAAATGCTATGCCATATTTAACCATCTAATTTACTGCAGCAGCCAATCTTTTTTTTCAGTGTATGTTTAAATATTGCAGATAATATCAGCTTGTCGTGGCATTCGTTTGTTCAAACAGCGCAACAGACAGCACCTATGCGGTTTCGTTCCGCTTGAACGGTAGAACAAGCATAAAAGCGACTTCGCATATGCGACAAGCCGCAGGGCCTTTCGCTCTGCAGAAAACGGGAGTAACGGTCGATGTCGACAAGTTTGTTCGCGATTCTTGCTCCTCTGTATCTGAATAACAATCTTTATCTCAATTGATTTAATTTTTATGCAAAGATCATATCAGAAGGATAGTTTAGAATGAATTATAAAATTTATAGTCCAATATCTGTATAATATTAATGAATTAATTATCATAAATTAATCACAGGTTAAAACGTAGAATTTGCTTATCCAACTATCTTCTTTTATTTAATCATTTTCAATTATAGTTTTTATACTAAAAAGAATTAATAGTAAGAATTAATAGTTAATATAACATATACTTTTATTTTAAATTTTAATTAAAAACTGATAGGAAGAATCTAGAAACTATCTAGTACGCGATATAGGAAACACGGAATTAAATTTGAGGTCTAGTCTGAACAAATTGATTCTGTCGCTTGTCTACATCGCTATCCTCACTTTAGCCTGTCTTCGAACCATCTTCGTCATCATTCTTCTTTTGGCAGCGTTGTCAAGACACGACGTGGTAGCGACTGCAAAAAAATGAGGGATGAGAAAAACGAAGGATGGACGGTGACGCTCGCCGAGACTTCGCCTACACGCACTCCTCTAAGACTCCGTCTTCCCACACGTAATTCATGTTCCTTCAATGCTCATCCCCCGCGCTCTTTAATCTCCCTTCCTCTTCTCTCCTTTCTCCCCTGCTTAATCTCGCCGTAAAATCCGACGTTTACTCCCTGCGTACGGTCGAGGAACCGGAATTGAGATAGCGCCACGTTAATTGCCGCCGATAATAGGATGCGTAATGGAATGTATGGTCGGTCAATCGCGCCGCATCTTTGTACACCACAGCTAATAATTACGTCGCTCTAATCACGTACCTACGTATTTTTTTTACTAATCGGTAATGCAGTAAACGTGATCTCGTATATTGCAAGTACCTCAAGAGTTATAAGTTTCAATTTAAAATAAAAATTTTTGAATATGTAATTTTAGACTTGTGTGGTATAAATACGAAAAAAATGACTATATTTATTTGCAAAGATATTTTGTTTTTATATCTCCATAATATACAACACACACACACACACAACACATAAATATAATTTGTAGTCAAAATTACCAGAATAACCAGGATTAATATATTCTGATAATTAGTCTACCGTTATTATCGAAATATATTACACCGAAATTATTAGCTCCGATCGTCTAATAAGGTAACAAATCAAGTTTATAAGAACAGCAAGGAAACATTCTTCACACTAATGCATTTTTAACATAAATATTGTATGTATGTCTATCGATAGTGTATATTATGTTATGCATAGGTTTTTTCCTTGTCTTCGATACTTATGTATGCGCTTATTTTTAATTATTGTCGATTGTTAAATTAATTGATAATTACAATAATTATATTCTATATATCCAAAAACGTACGCCACATATAGTTCGTTAATTCCTTATACTTGCGTCGAGTTTCACTGTACGGGAGAATACCGTACAGGAAGTTATGCTTAACATTTAATCACTTCTGAGATCGAGTGCAAGACCACGATCTTGTAATTTCCTGCAAGTAATTACAATTTTTATGCCCGTACTGATGTGTGTAATCGCAAGATTCGAATAGTATAAAAAGTTTACAAACACACGCAAATACACATTAACTGAAAAAACGAATATTTTCTTCTCATATTTATATATTCTCATATTAGCTACATTTTGAGCTTGTTATGCAAATTATAATCTAATTGTGATGAAACATAAGCATCAAATAATATCAAAAGAATATTAAATCATCCCACATTCAATTTATTTGGCTAATATTGGAGGTGATTTATGTATCGTAAGAAATAAATGTATATTTATAATTTCTCCATTTTTATACTGTTCGTGATTTGTAATATTGCAAAGCAATCTATTACAGTTACTTTTGTATTTATAAATAATAATATATCACTATTTTTATTATACATCCACCGCCATTGTTGCAATAATAATGAAAATTTTATTAGGACGAATCGTATATATTGCGAAAATTTTTTATGTCGATTCACGTTCTTTCAATCATTTTCTCTAAGCATTCTATTAGTCTCGTGACTAGAAAAAAAAGTGTTTAATTGCCATATTATACTAGGATCAGTGCTGTCTAACTCGTTTAAGTACAGGTCGTTAAGATTCCCTGTCGTGCACGGCGGATGTTGCGAACATCAGCTTCAAAGGCACGTGCTCAGACGTCTGCTTTTGGTGCGAGGGAGATAAGTAGTGACGTCGAAAACGTGCTTGTAAATGCATTTCCCAGGCAGCACTGTCATAAAATGCTAATTGCATTATGCACCTAATAAAAGGTTGAGAAATGAAAAGGGACGGACGTCCAACACTCGTGCTTTTTCCGGAGTGTTTCCCACATTTTTAAATAAAGACTCGGTATACACACAAAATTTCTGGTCACACAAATTTTAATTCATGGGAAACGATACATTTTTTTGTCAGAAATCGTTCGATTCCTGTTGCTAGCGTGGAAATTCAGCGCATTCTCAATAACAAAATCGATTTTCTCGGTAATGAAATTTTCTATACAGAACTACCCTTATTCACTACAATAAATTTGAAAGTACGAATCCGATCGTAACATGCAAAATGAAATTTCCTGTGTGCAGCGTGTGGGCAGCGCAAAGAGAATCCGCAATCCACGAGATTGCTCGCTTTGCTCGCTTTACAATCGCATCTGTACACCCGGCTTCGGGTCATTATTCATTTTAAGCGGCGCGGGCGGCGGCATAGCGCGTCAATCTCCACGATGAGGAAAGCGCGTTCAGCGCCAGCGCCGGATCTTTCGTATTATTACAATTAGTGATGTCGCAAACGACACGAACGATCGTGTCTCACGACACGCGGAAGTTGCATTGTGACTCGGTGTAAAAATTTGTGACTTGAAAAATTTACGCAATATATAGGCGGCATAAATCAAAGATGTAATAATGCAATTAAAAATCTCCCATTTTCATACTTCTGAATTTCTACGAAAAATTTTGTTCGTTTTTTATGATGAGAATACATTAAATTATATTTGTGTTATTTCTTTGTGACATTTATAGAATTCGTCGATCTATTTGAGCTCAGTAAAATATTGTAATTTGGAGTTTTTATATAATACGCAGTTATATATAAATGTCAGCGAAACTTCGAACTTACTTTCTCGCAATTTACTTAGCTGATTATGAACGATAATTACAGCGTTGATTATATATACGAATATATTCTTATCGATACATATTGCGACATCGATAAATCTATTATAAAAATCAAACTGGCTTCAGTTATACAAGAGTGAAAGGAGTCGCTGTAGAAGGTTGCTTTAAAACACATACGAAAGACATATGATGGATAAAAAACAACATATATGCTGATCTATTTTTATATGGATTTAATAGAAAATAATTTATGTATATCGATCATGAATATCTACACAGACATAAAAAAATTTTTTTTATTCAAAGATTAGACCATGGTATTCTTGTGTATTTTGATGCTTTAAAAGCGAATCCGATGCTCCAAATCGCGTTACAATTTTTTTTCTATTGACGCAACATTAGCTCGATTTTCCAATATATAATATATAACCTACCAAGTTGCATATTAACTGTAGTATAAGCTTGCATATTATCGTTGAACTTACTTTCTCTCATTTTCAGCTTGCATATTAAAAACCAGGCCATAAACGACTCTGAAAATATTAGAAAATCAAGATTTTCTATTGATAAAAAAAATTTTGACTTTTGATGGAGCAATTTTGATATCGGATTTGGTTTCAGAGCGTCAAAATACATAAGAATATCATGGTCTAATATCCGGATTAAACATTAAATTTTGTTCTGTGTTCTATGTTTATGTGTTTGTTATCTATATTTATTACCAACGAGATATATATGAAATTATAATTTTATATTTTGTCTTACAAAAAGACATTGATGTTTTAATTTTTACAATTTAAATTCTTTTAAAAATATCGCTAGATATAATTAATATTAATATGTATATTAATCTGTATAGAATCTTAAATATATTTACAATTATTTATAAATTTTATAAATTTTATTAAACTCTTTAAAAAAGAAATTTAATGCATGATATCAAGAGATTGATAAAATTTATATCTAACAGATATAATCAACCGTAAATGTAATTTTATAATTTTATACGCGTCGTTTAGATAATTATATACATCTCCAAAGCATTTATATGTAAAAATTTTATTTATCTTATGATAGAAAATGAATTTTTTAGTTTGCCTGACAAAATAAAAAGAGAAAAAGATTGAGAAAATTGTACGAGCTAGGAGCAGACATTTAACGCGTAGAAGTGAAATTTTCACACAAGTTTACTTTCAACGAGCACTTCGAAGAATTATCGCGTGAACGCACACGTTTTCCCCGATTACGATTAGAATAAATTATAAT